ATATGCGACGTCTACTACAAGATGTTTCACTTCAATGGTTTTGGCATTCGTCCTTGAGCCGAATGATATGCGACGTCTACTACAATGATATGCGACGTCTACTACAAGATGTGGCCCTTAACTTTCATTTTCTCTCTAGAAAGGCCGACTAGTGATCCTTGAAAATCTCAAATGCTATTAGGATCAAATTTTATCCCCTATAAGGCGCCATTGAATATGATTTCTGTTGAGCTTCCAGAGTTAATCAACACTCACTTCACATCCTAATTGGCATACTGAATTATGATGATCATGGGAACATTATTGCGGGGGAGCACACCGATTGCATCTTCTCTTGAAAAAGTTGATTCTGGGCTCTCGTCCCCTGCCTGAGGTTTTAAGAGCTTTAACGGGTGCAATGTTTGCTGTTAACATCCATCGAGCATACTTTCTCCAAGAGAGGCTATACTTCTCCCTAGAGAAACCTCTAGCGATGGTTTTGGCAGTCTTCTCGGAACTTTGCACAAACATCCTCGTGAGAAGATGGTGGGAGAAATAATGAGTAAATGAAATGTGTGACTTGAGTTAGTTTTATCGGGCCCCATAGTGGGCGCCATTTGTACTTGCTAAAAGTACAAAAGCATGACAACCCTTAGTGATTAAGGAGTGTCAGAGGCTTTAAGGTTATTGTTGAATTGAGAGCTAGCTCATGTGAGGTGAGAAACTCTTGTATGTGTGTGTTTATGTGTTGTAGTTGTTCTTAGTTATCACAATATTGATTTATTTATAATCCTTTGGACTTGACCCAAGTCTTCTTAGGATGTAGCAACTATTTCAGGAATAGGTAGTTAATTCCTTGAAATCTAAGAAGTGTAGTTGAATCTCACGACTTCTCATGTAACGTTTGATGACCTAATACAAGTTTCACGCGTGATCACGCGCTATGGACGGAGACACTAAGGATCTGAGCGATGTATATAAAAAAGAAATGACCTATCCGAAAGAGAGACGCTCGAACTAATAAAAGGGTGACTTGAAAAGAACGATGAGCGAAACGTATACCTTCACCCTACCCCCACGACCCTTTCCAATTACTTCGCTATAATACTCGTGATTATGCCTCCTTATGATTGATTGTCTTTGTCTTTATGTTTAAGACTAGCCCAAAAACTTATTTTTATGTTTTATTACATCGAATTAAGATAGATATTCCACTGAGATGTGGTTTGTAACTTGACTATAAAAATATGATTATTTTAGGTTTTTAGTAAGTTTAACACAACCATCACGAGCCACGGGAATTATACAAAAAAATACACAGGGTGTTTAGATTTGCAAGAATGAGAATTGAATTTAAATAAATAAATTATATAAATTTGATTATAAGTAAATTGAAGTAAAATAATTTATGTTTAAATATATTTATGATAAAATGGGGTGAATAATAAATTTCAGTAAAAAAATTGTGTTTAGACTCAAAACTACAAACCTTAAATTAAGTTCAAGTGAAATCTATTATAAAAGTATAATCAATTTAGTTTTGTTAAATCGAACAAACCAAAATCAATATTTTTTAAAATTAATTTTTTTTGCCTTTTTTAAAATGAAAATCAAACATCAAATATGTTAATGTTTGGTTTCAATTTTGGAAGAAGCAATAGTAATTTAGAGTTTAGAAATTGATTTTGATATGTTCGATTTCTTCAAAATGAAATTGATTCCACTCTAAGTTAGTATTATAGTTTTTGAATTTAAATGTAATTTTAACACTAAAATAAATTTATTGTTTAACTAATTTTCGTGTGAAACTATTCAAAAACAAATTATTTTAACTCAATTTAATTTTAATATAAGTGTCTATTTAATTCAAAAACAATAATTTGTAAATGTTGTAGAAGGCTACTGGTGCTAGTCACGCTCTTGTTTTCTTTACCCTATATCAAGGAAGGAAATAGTTTCATAGGGACTCGTGAAAGTTTGACAGCGTTATAGAAAGAAGAGGGAAGAGAGGTCTTGGATGTTCTCTATGACTCTATGAATGTTTTCCTATTTCTTCGGATTTTGCAAAAAGGCCCAAAGGCAGGGTAGAAAATAGAAATAACAATGTAAATTTTAGTTGCACAGTCACTGCTTACAGAGCTGTTTGGACTATTATAAAATCTCACATGGAAATGTTTCACTCATCAGTGTCCCACCCAATTCAATGTTGTTTTTAATTGTACTTGTTTGTGAATAGCCATAAATTATAGTGACCAGCAATTTTAGCTACGGACTTTACCCTGCTACCATCCTCTTATGTGGGTCACAGACACAACTTAATATCTCAGCAACGCCAACGGTAGAATGGAAGTGTGATAATATAAGAATATAAATAAATGTTGTGATTATGTGAAAAAGCAACTTTCTGGAATGGAAGTAACAATACAATAATGGGGTGTGCCGGAATATATTTTCGTATCTTTATATTTTTTTTATAAATTTTTGGTAAAAATTTAAAAGTATATAAAGTTCGGAGATACATCAATGAACATATTTATTTTTTATAATTGAACATAATCGAATAAGTTATCATATTATCTTAATTTTAGTTCTAAGTTGCATCTCTGAACGTGTAATTGATATACTTTTAAAATGTATATTAAAAAATGCCACTTATACTTCAAAATAAAAACAAAGACAATAATAGTAAGATCTAGAAATCATAACAATTTAATTTTAAATTAAAACACTAAACATTAAATAGATAGCCGTTAACATAAATTTAACATTACATATCATTATAAACAGAAAGTTGATGACGTTGCAACATATTGATAATATTTTTGACGAATCTTACAATCTTCACATCCACTTCAATCCGACACTTTGATGCATAACGGTGAAAAATATTTCAAATAATCTTTAAATCTTCATTCCTCTTCAGAGAATATGAGACGAAAGACATTCTATTTATACATGTTTTGGATCACTTTGGACCTTAGAAGCCTTATCTTGTCATCAGGGTATTTTTTGGATATGCATGTCCGGATACACCCGTTTTTTTTAAGAAAAAAAAGATGTTTACAAATATGCACATCTGAAAAGTGTCATGTTGTGTGTTTTTTTTTTTAATTTAGTATAGTGTGTATCGGGATATGCATATCTGAAATCTCTCAGAATCAGAAATAGAGTAGAAATTGTGTAAACATAAGTTGAAGATTTAAACCATAAGATTTGTAAACAGAAAAAGTCGACATTTACACCATCATTGTTGAATATATATTACTTATGTATTAAATTGTGTCGAGATTACACTGTTGACGATAATACATTCATAAAAAGTATATCGATTACAATTTAAAATGCACCAAAAGATGCATCACCGATTAAATCTACTACTGGTTCCTCCTTCGACTTTTCCTTATTTGATTCTCTTTCAAGCTCACTCAATTTGGTGAACTTTTCCATCATTTTCAGAAAGTGATCTGGTTAAGTTTCTGCCTCTTTTGTGGAATGTGTCGCCCACTCAAATGATGTATGTACTTGGTATAAGACACTCCGATTTCAAATAAATTAACCTCAATTACCATCACCATTAACATTTACAATTTGCTCAATGTGTTTGTACGTATTCTTCAATGTAGATTATTTTCAGCATCAACGGTGAAGGAGGTGGTTTGCTAATATGAGGACCCCTGTAAACATTTTTTTTGAGATTTTCGAGTTGGAGAAATTGAGAAATGTGAATCAACATGATCAAAGTATGAAGGAAACTGCTTCGTTGTATTGTCATCTTCTGTCATTTTGACATTTTTAGTGGCACATCTGATTTTAACTGGTTTAGAAGGAGATTTCAAATATGTGATTTCTGGATAGGCAATCATTATGTCATCTACTTTAGAAAATCTATCTTGGATTATTTTCCACTCGATCATGATAGTTATACTTACTTTACCATCCTTCATCACACCATCGTCATCAAACTGGAGTCTTTTCAAGTGACTGTAAATTTCACTCATATGTATCAGAGCATCAAACTTCATCTTTTTGAAATGAGACAAGCACATGGAAGACCGCAAGTCTTCCCAAGTGTACATCCACACTTCCAAACGTGACATACATTTTTTCAACTTAAGAACAAGATTAATGCAAGTAATAAGAGATGAAATGAGCAAACTTTATCTTAAATTGCAGCTCTTTTTGTTCCCTTTGATCTGATAAAACACAAGAATGGTGATTTGAAGTTGAAAAGTTGATTGAGAATGAATTTTTTTTAAGTGTTTTGGGTAATGGAGGTAGTATGGAGCGTGGGAGAGGTGATCATGTAAGATAGTGATACATTCGATTTCTCGCTTGACGTTTTCAGATATGCATCTCTGACTGAATAGTTAAATAAACCAGTTCGATGAAAAATACGTAGTAAATAGATTCAAAGGTTTTTTCGAAGATGCATTTTCAAATTCACCCCAGAAATTTACCAAGATGCAACTCCGAATCAATTTTTGATAAAAAGAATGGGTGGCTATCTGATTTACAAAGGATAGTGATTTAAAATATATCTAGCGATGTATTTCCATACGCACCTGAAAGTAATTTTGAATTTTCAGTAGTGTGAGCCCCAGTCCTAAGAGTTTAGAAAAGAAATACCCCAAATCAATTAGCAGAGATTTGAGACAGGTTTTGCGAGTGAAGGACAAATATAATTGCCTGAAATTCACATGTATTACACTATTTGAAATTGGGTCCTACTATTAGGTCCACTAATTTAGTACAACTCATGAATTTTTCTCAACACTGATAAAAAGTGTAGAAATAGTGTTTTTTTAACACTTTTTCTTGCAAGTAATTCATTGTGTAGCAGCATTGTTTCTTTATTAGTGTCTCACAGTAGGGTCAGCGTCATACAGATTCAACATTTCATTAAGATGTTCAAGGAACATAGTTTCATCTTGACTTAGTTAGAAATTTATGAAGTATCTATATTTACAGTGCATAGAACTAAATGTGTCTGTTGTCCCTTCCATGTACAAATTGTTTGGGAGTTATTCCCAATCAGCATCAAAGAATCCAGCATCTTTCATCTCAGAATAATACGCATTATCCAAAAGGAAGTCTTCCTCCTGCAGCAAGTGCAAACAACAATTTCATAACATGATGTTTGTCGATTAAAACCAAATTCAATTAATAAATAGCAAAGAATGCTTACTCGAAAAAAATCTGCCAGAAAAGTTACATAAAGAAACGGAAGATATAGAGCGTGGTAACACAGCACAGTAAAATCATACAACCTGCAGATGACAAGAATGTCTGTTATATATTGCATAAGCTATAGAGACAATAACCGCGTACGATAAGTCTTCTAATTGCAAAGATATAGGATTACCAATTGCCAAGGCCAGCACCAATTCCTGCCAGCCCACAAGCAAAGAGAGTAATTGCATTGAATATAAACATTACAACAACGTAGTTGTAGATAGTTGGCTTGGCTGTAAAGGTGACAAAAATTTTCAAATTAGAATGTGAATCCATTTAGAATACAACAACAGTATTGAATTAAGCAGTTGTGTGATGAAACATAAAGGGAACTATTCTTCCGGCCTTTACTAAACAAATAGCAGCGTTGAATGAATATACTCACGGGGCAGTTTTTCTCTCCATTTATAGAACTGTACAAATAAAATGAAGCCATATGCTGCAGCAAGCAGTAACTTATGTATTATCCACAAACCCCACAGGAACGTATGAGTGCTTCCAACGGTTCGATTGAACAAAGGAACACCGAATCCGAAAACATATATTGCCTGATATGAGAGCCTTTAATTAGCAGAAATGACATAAGCAGTTTAAGAAGTAATTAATGTGTAAAGAATAACCAGAACCCAATAGGACAAAAATGTTTGATTTACATTGTATCTAAGCTGAAATAACAATGATTGGAAACAGTTGCAATATGTAACCGCCGTTATTTACTTTGATTTACTTTGTATCTATTCTGAAATAACAGAAGCTATACCTGGACAACATTTAGTTTGGGATTAGATGGTGCATTGAATATCAATACGCACAAGCGTCCTATAAAGGAACTTATTTTGGGAATACTAGCCTAAATTTTTCAAGTTGAGGGATGCTTGGCAAGATGAATATAGTTAAAATGGGAATTGCACTGTTTAAAATAAATTAAAAAAATTAAAAATAAAAAAACAAAAACTTCTCTTAATGGTTTAGGGTTATATAAAATGAAAAATGGAATTTTCCATGGAATTATATATGAGCGTAAAAATCATATGGTAAAATCTAAAAAGCTTAGAAACACTTTCAAGGAGTTTAGGACAAGAACGTTACAATAATTCAACATGGCCTTTATAAATTTAAACTATAGACATTCACCGAGGAAAGATAGTTCCCATGAACTTATTATGGATAAGTATTAGAACCATACAATACTAACAAAACAAGTTGAGTTGTCATCTTATAGGGCACAATTTGCTTAGCATTATGTTTGATGCTTCAAAAGTTTCGTAAGCACTCTTTGTTTTTGCTCCTCATAAGGTTTGCAAATTGCTATTATGGTGATCAACATGCTGAAATGAACTGATCATGTTATTCTCTTCAAAATGCCACTACAAAGGTCACAGTTATCTTGATTGCTATTGATAGGTACCTAGATTAATAATCATAGATATGAATGTAAAGGACAGGTAAATGAACAAATGGACTGTGTACTTTATTCATGATAAATAGAAAATGAGCAGAGGAAACAACTCTTCCTTCTACTCCTGAGATCCAAGCTCACTAACTCGGAGAGAATCTATTCTCTGCAGTCATCTAACAGAATAGCCAAGGTACCCCCACTCCTAACTAATCTTTTCTACATATACGGACTGAGCTCACGCATTCTCTACTTCACGTGCTAGCACACCTTCCTCACTCTTAGTTTTCCTCACACACACCCTATAAACTTTAGGTGTAGCACCTTCCTCACTCTTAGTTTTCCTCACATACACCCTATAAACTTTAGGTGTAGCATGTGACGGACTAGATGCGTCACCACCTTCATACTTCTCATCCCTAGCTCTACCATTACTCCGTCCATAAGACAGACTTGCACTCAAGTCCGAGTGCAGGGAATTGTGTGTGCATTGCAAGTTCTTCTGTGTGTGCTTCTTCTATGTGCACATCACATTCAAGACCCGTGGGTAACTTAGTTTCAATCCAGTAATTGCCAATCGCCTTGTTGAGCAAGGATACATAGAAAACCGGGTGAATCCGAGATGTGGCGGGTAATTGGAGATGGTATGTGACCATGCCTATCTGTGCCAATATCTCAAAAGGTCCATAGTATTTTGGAGCTAACTTGGGATTGGTTCATGCTTCCACAGATATCTGCAAATGTGGCCTCAACTTGAGGAACACTCATTCCTCAATAGGAAAACCCACGTCTTTTCGCTTCTTGTCAGTTTGGTTTTTCACATGGCCCTTTAGCTCGATCTAGATGGTAGGTACTTGAGCTGTCTTAATGCTTTATAACAATCCATCAGTTCATTATGTATGAGAGGTGGCCTCCCATATACCACTTCAAAAGGTGGAGTCGGTGGAGACATGATATGTAATGTTGTGCCAACATTCAGCCCATGGAAGCCACATCACCTAGATCTGTGGCTGATCTGCTATACCTTCAACTTCTCATCCCTAACTCTATAAGCTACATTCACAGTTTTGATATCGCGATGTAGCTTAAGACTGCTGACCTCATACACTGAGATAGAACTTGGAGGTAGTAGTTGTTGATAAAACTCAAGCCAGGGTTTCATTGAAAATGGGAAGCAAACCAGTGACGGGTGGAGAAAAGAATCAAGTGCAATAGACAGGAGAATCATATGAAACCGACAAATTACAAACAAATTTAGATACTGAACACTTAAATCAGGATCACGCATAACAAATCCACTTATACTTTGTAAGAGAACTAAATATGCATATGAGACACATATAATATATAAATACTAGTATGATGGAAAACCAGTCTCACCTTAAGAAGGGTATCCACACAGACAATAATTCCTGATACAGTTGAAGTGTGCGCTAGAGTTTCCATGACATTCATGTAGCCATTGTTCAGTAAGAAAGCCATCAAGCTTATCTCTAGATACAACATACCTGATGCCGTAAACAACGACAACATATTCCAAGCAACCTCCTTTCCAGTAGTGCACTGCCATGCCTGCTCAAGCAACAAAAAAGCCTAAGTTTTCAAGGTTAAGCAAAAACAAACACATAGAAAGTAGAATGTAATGGTGATATACCCGAAGAACAGACCGAGCAAGGTTCAAAAGGGTAACAAACCAGAGAAGGGCATAATAGGAAATTATGATACAAGAACCTCCATTATAGAGGCTGTTGACATTCTTCTTGGCTTTCACAGCGAGATACAAAACAAACAAAACCGATGAAACGATAACAAACGTGTCGTATTCATTGCAGTTCAAATTCAGATCCTCCACATGGATTTGACCCTCAGGACCCTCCACGCTTGTTGACATAGACGATGGATCCTTCCGTTTGTATCGGTCTCAGAATAAAATGGGGAATGATAACATTGTTGGGTTGTTTTGGCAATAGTGGAGTAATGTTCAACAAGATCGTGGAACTGGGAATGGATATATCATGATGGAGCTTCCGTCAGGGACACGAAAAACAGTAATGGGATCACGGTCACGAGTCACGACCAAATAGCCAACTTTGGCCTGTTGAGGAAAGTTTCCATTTATGATCTATGTTTTCTTTAAAATGTTTAAAATTAATTTTCATTCTATTTCGAATTTTATAAGGTTTTGTCTATATTACACTCTCATTTTCTTTTTAAATTCATTTTGGAGAATTATTTTTTTACAAAAATATAAGTCTGCTTTATAATATGAAATAATCGTTAATGGTTCAAAGACCTAGTGGAACTGTCAGCTTCTCTTAAAGATAAAGAATAAAGCTTTAGATCTGATGAGAAAGAGTTTTAATTAACTGTAGTCCTACCATTGAAATTAGTTGAATATTATTAATATGAGAGAAATTGAGTCATTTACACACGAGCTAAACAAACATCACAAATTTGGAAAAAGTTTACTGAGTATTTCATATGGAGAAGCAGGATGTACTGAGTTAATAAGATTTTTTACTATTGAGAAAAATTTAGTAAATGGAAGATAAAAGGGAGAGAAAGACACCGTTGAAATTTTAATTTTCATAGAGTAAAGTAGTCTTTGGTATTTGATGATATAGCCAATCTTGCTAACTAAATTCAATGGTTCATGTAGTTCAGTGACTGATTTTTTTTTTCTTTCTATTTGCACACTCTATAACATTTTTTAAATATTTTTATTGTATTTTTGCGTTGTTTTTGCATTGTGACGGTTGAGAAGGTTGGAATTCAACCACAATTTGTGGAGAATTTCACTCAATTAATTTTGATCTCAAAATTATTTCAACTCACGTAATGACAATAAAAGAAAAGTTTAGAAAGAAAGAAAGTAAACAATTTTCTGTAGAGAACTCTCTGCCCACAAACTGTGGAAATTCTGTTATTTCACTTGCAATTGCAAATCATGAATTACAAAATATGATGAGATGCGATGTTTATAAAATACGAGTTTCTCTCTATTTATAGATTTAGGTTAACTTGCACCCCAAGTCAAAACGCAAACTATAAAAGCCCAAAAATATCTAATCTAATTTGTTGCAGTGAGAATCAGATATCAAGTTATTGATTAACTTGAACCACAAATCTTTAAGTTCACCACCGAGTTTTGATTTATCCAAAGAAAATGGTAAAGATCGAAGAAAACCCTAAGTGCGCTACGTGACAACGAAGCTAAGAGATTGGGGGATTCGGGAGTTGGTTATACTAAGGAAATGTATTAGTACCATAAGTATCTGTAGTACTCTACATGAGCCTCTTGTTTGGTAAAAGTGCTAAAGGTAAAGACCTATAAGTATGTACACTAAGTATGCTTGTAACACCCCAAATTTAATCGAAATATTTTAATTAAGTATTTAATTAAGAATGTTCAATTTCAGTGATTTTGAGTTGATTAATGAAGTATTGGAAATAATGTGCATTTTGGAGTGTTTATTTTGATTAATAGCATATAATATTAATTTATTAGTATTATTATTAATTAAAATGAAAATAAGGAGAATAAGGGTAAAATGGGCATTATGAAAAGTTAGTAAGGGTAATGAGGGAAAAGCCCAATGTGTAAGGTCCAAAGCTAGGTTTGACAAAATTGAGTTCTAAAAGGAAAAAGAAGTTCATTTTTGTGTTAACCGTGGAATTGTGGCCAGAGTTCTGAAGAAAGGTCAGAAGCAGAAATCCCAAGTGATCGTGAAAAGCTGCAGATTCGACTAAGGTATGGGGAGTATTACCTTTCATAGTTTTCTATGTGTATCTGTCGATGTGTATGGGGAGATTAAACTTTGGGATAATTTGGGTTACTTGTGGGAAAAATTAGGGAAACTGATAATACGACTCTGAGATTATGATCGATGGTATGTATCGCTGAATATTAATATGAGAAGGGAAACCTTCGGCCTTGTGGCCAAACCTTTGAGACTGTGATGTTCTGACCTTGTAGGAGTAATGTTTTAGGGGCATTAGGAGGTTGAATCGTATGAGAATTTGGGCAGAAAACAGTTATGATCGTAGCAGGTTTGTGCTGTCATCGCACCGTTCGCTAGAGACTCGCCTAGCGAGCAGTCAGCGAGCATTCGCTAGAGACTCGCCTAGCGAGCAGCCAGCGAGCATTCGCTAGGGACTCGCCTAGCGAGCAGTCAGCGAATGTAGCAGAGTTCGCGAAATGTGATCATTGTGCAGCGATGCCTTGGTGTTTAATTCTTGGATTTTAGTGATGAATTACCGTGAATATGGCAGTGGGTTTTGGGTGATGGGTATATGATGGTTTTCGTGATGTATTGATTGAATTAATATGATGAAATAACATGATGAATGATGAATTATGTGATAACATGATGAATGATGAATTATGTAATAATATGATGAATGATGATGCACCATATGCTGTATTATGAGGATTATTATTGTGACGTGTGCATCATACATTCATTTGCATCCGGACTTCGGTTCAGGACCTCGATTATTATGACTTCAATCCCATTGTGTGGATGTGAAGTGCTTTGACGTGCTCCGATTTTATAGATGGGGATCTATGGAGAGTTGATGGCCTAGTGTCCATCGAGTTGTGATGATTGGTACCACATGCATTGGATATGTTGCATATTGCATTTATGAGTCCTTCTGTGTGAATTATGATATTGTGCCTTCGAGGCAGATTTTAAAGGATATCAATGTGTTATATATAAATATGACGCCGTTTATGCATTAACTGTTATACATTGATTATTATGAACTGTTTTACTCACCCTGCCTGTTTGAATGTTACCTCCACGTGGGTAACGTGCATATGATGCAGTTTAGCTGTGGACGCCGTTGAGGAGTACTTTTGAAGTTTTTGAGTGTTTTAGCCTTTTGGTCAGCCTAGAGGGTCTTGCTCTGATATGTAACATCGAGTTGGGTTACTTGAGTTGATTTTATATCGTTGAAGTTATTTTGATTTAATTTCCTTTTTTAGGAAACTTTAATTTATGTTTTGAGTTCCGCTGTATATGATGTTTTGATGTACTTTGAGAAAACCCGTATGTTACGGAGCAGTGACGTATTTTGTTGACTTTGAGAAATGTTCGCCCTTTCGTGGCATTTTTAATGAGATTTATTTATTCACTCTGATTTATGTGTTATTTTGCCTTAATATGTGTTGGGGGTAGAAAGGGTGTTACATTAGTGGTATCAGAGCAGGTCGGTCCGTCCGGCTAAGTGTATATGTTGTTAGTCCCCTGTCAGTCGATAGTGTGAGAACACTATTGATGAGTTGTTTCCTTCTAACTTTGTTGGTGGTTGTAGATGGCAGGAAGGAATGATTGTGCTATTGCTGATGTGCTGGAATCACTTGCCCAAGTGATGGCTCAGAATGGTGGACCTCCAGATGAGTTCCACGCTTTGGGAAAGTTTCAGAGGAACAGTCCGCCGACTTTTGTGGGTACTCATGATCCTGAAGGTGCGCAGAAATAGCTGAAGGTGATTGAGAAGATTTTCCGAGTTATGGCATGCAATGATGCGCAGCAGGTACAGTTTGGTACGCATGTGCTGGCAGAGGAAGCTGAGGACTGGTGGGATAACACTCGCCAGAGATTAGAAGATGTTGGCATTGCAGTGACTTGGGTTGTGTTTAAAGAAGAGTTTCTGAGAAAGCATTTTCCTGAAGATGTTCAGGGAAATAAAGAGGTGGAGTTCCTTGAGCTGAAGCAAGGTGATATGACTGTGGCTGAGTATGCGACAAAGTTTGAGTCCTTGGTCATGTTTTGCCCGCATTACAACCGTGCTGATGCAGAAATATCGAAGTGTCTCAAGTTTGAGAATGGGTTGAGACCAGAGATTAAGCAGGGAATTGGGTATCAGCAGATTCATCGGTTTTCAGAACTAGTGAACAAGAGCAGAATCCATGATGAAGATAGCTGAGCTCGATCTACTCACTATAAGCAGCTGAGTGAGAAGGAAGAGAAAAGTCAGTTCAGAGGAAAACCGTATGTGACTTCTGGTGATAAAGGGAAGCAGAAGGTTTCTGATGGGAAAAATCCAAGTGGGGGAGCGACCAGTGCTCCAGGTAAGTGTTATAAGTGTGGCGAGCAAGGCCATTGTGCTGAGAATTGTAAGGCGCTGAGATGCCACCGTTGCGGCAAGAGGGGTCATAAGGCTACTGATTATAAAGACGAAGCTCCGACTTGTTTCAACTGTGGAGAGAAGGGTCATATCAGTACCCAGTGTCAGCAGCCGAAGAAGACTGCTACTTCTGCTCAGACAAGTGGCAGAGTGTTTGCTTTGAGTGGTGCAAAAGAAGCCAAGACAGATAACTTGATCAGAGTACTTGTTTTATTAATGATGTTGAATTGATTGCTATAGTTGATACTGGTGCTACCCATTTATTTATTTCTCTTGAATGTGCTAAGAGATTGGATTCGGAACTGTCTTCTATGATTGGAAGTATGGTTATCGATACCCCGACCAATGGTTCTGTGACTACTGCGTTAGTCTGTTTGAGCTACCCTTTGACTATTTATGATAGGAACTTTGTGATGGACTTGATATGTCTACCTTTACACCAAATTGATGTTATCCTGGGGATGAACTGGTTGGAGTACAACTATGTTCACATTGACTGTTTTAGCAAAACTGTGAGGTTTCCTGAGTTTGGCGATGGAGGGGAGCTGATATTTGTATCTGCCAAGCAAGTAAGAGAACTCTTGGAAGATGAGGCTCAGATGTTTGCCTTGTTTACGTCGCTTCAAGTTGATCGTGAAGCAGTGGGCGTAGAGCTACCGGTTGGTCGGGAATTTCCAGAGGTGTTTCCAAGCGATATGAGTGACTTACCTCCTGAGCGTGAGGTAGAGTTTACTATTGAGGTGATACTGGGCACTA